CATCGTTTCAGCACGTGTAGTGTGTCATAGTGGACGACAACCGATTCCGCGTCTGCGATGCTTCACCACATCACAACAGAAAGACTAGCATGTTTAATTTCTTTTCCGTCGTCCACGACGAGTTCCGTCACATTGGTGACGTTGACCAATAGCAGCACAGAAGCTCTTTCATACACGGGTTTCAAACATGGCAAAACGAAAGCGAGATGATGCTGCTAGGTGTAAATTTTTTTCCCGTCGTCCACGACGAGTTCTGTCACATTGGTGACGTTGACCAATAGCAGCACAGAAGCTCTTTCATACACGGGTTTCAAACATGGCAAAACGAAAGAGAGATGATGCTGCTAGGTGGAATTATGAGATGGAGGAAAGGTTCGTGGAGCTGTGGCAACAGTACTCCTACCTGTATGATGTGTCATCGAGGGACTACCACGACAGAACAAAGAAAGAAAAATGCCGGCGAACTTCAGCAATGTTTACACTTGTTTTCGGTTGTTAGTCGCTAGTTCCGCCTTCGCGATGACATCACGCGCGTCGTTAAAGATTGCACGCGATGAATCGTCGGGAAGCAACGTGTAGTCTGACATGTTTTTTTGTCCACGACACGACAAGATTTCAGGAGTTAAAATCGTGTAATATGACACAGTGACTATTGTGACCGACAAAAATATCGTGTAGTCTGAACCCGGCATAAGGGAGCCTGACGAGCGGTCTTAATTGCGAGGTTAATTACGCCACAAGTCATGGCTGAGGTGTAGCAAACAGCCTTTTCCTCCTCATCCTTTATAGCATTAAGATTTTTAAAACACAAGAATAAAAGTGTGATTCGTTCTTTTTGTTGTGGCTGCGCATGCGCAACATCCTTTTGTTAGTTGTTTTTCAAAATCTTTTGCTGGATTATTATGATTTCCTCATTCGGTGACACTGCAACTTCATCAAACTCAGAAGAAATTTTAGTAGCGCATTTTAGAGTGGTCTGAGGCATGATGACAAGTTATGTAGTATAAATACAATATCAATTATATTTTCATTTAATATGCGTGTATATCCAAGTAGCCTACATTTATATAAAGAAGGTATTAATTTAATTATTATAAATGGTCATAAAATTTAAAGTGCTAATCTATGATAAATACACATCTAATATAACCAAATTACCTATATTTACATATATTGAATGTCAATCAGAATGCAGCTCAGTTCATGGAGCTCTCCTAGCGAGCTGATGATGTGAATCAGGTGTGTAACCACTGCATTAAAAGAACACGTTCATATATTTATTTGTTTGTGAACCGGACTATACTGCTCGCGCATGTTTGTTTGTGCAGCCCGCAAAGTTTGTTGAGCTTAAAGTCTTTTCTTGCGATTACTCTGCGTTACACGGTCGATGCATCTCATCACATTCAGTTGAGACTACAAACTCGCACATAACTCAGATTTCTTTTGTCGTTGCACTGAATTTTGGGATTTGGCACATTTACCTTTTTACAGTACAGTTTCGTACATTTGCCTTTATGACTTTAACAGTCGTATCTCATACGTGCGCTTTATTATACGCGAGCTGCCAACTCCCAATCCCAATGCAGCCCTCTACTGTGAAGTGTCATATTGGTGAACAATTGCTGCTTATGATATTTGTAGTGCACTTCAAACTATGCAACATTCTGCTTACGATGTTATAAAGTTATCAGATGATTTAGGTGACACATGCTGTGTGTTACTAAAAACAATACCATTTTATTTCAAGAATGTTATAATATTATCAGGATTTAAAATTAGTTTATAGTAAATGTTGTTTGGCTATTCATATAGAGTCTTGTATATGTAATCACTTGCAAAATGTCTTCATATTTGTAGTTTTTAAATTATTGATGCATGCATATTCATTGTCAAGCACACTGAAGTACTTTGCCAGTAACCCACAATGATATTCAATTATTTAACACAATTTGCTGCTTACTTCAACTGATTACTTTTCTTTTCTTTTTAAATAAAAATGAATTTAAATGAATAAGAATTTTTGTATAGGTGTTATCTTTAAGACATGTTGCATTAAAGTGAAAACTTGCATATTATTTGAGATTCACATCACGTTCTGTCAGTTCTGGAAGCTTTAAGAAAGCTTTTTTTAGCCTTTTTTCATGACATGGCATACAGGAAAGTATTGGAGTATGTCCATTGTCATTGATGGTTTTACCATGGTACTTTTTCCTAAAGCGATTGTCATTCAATGTGCTAGACTCAACATGCTTTTCTGATCGAAAACGTCTTATCTTATCAGGTATGAGATCCGGGATACACACATGGTGGAGGAGAGCGTTATGATGACCCTGAAGGATAAGGCGGACTTCTCCAGCTTCAAGCCCCGCCCCTTCAACATGCGCGAGTTCTACGATCGAGTGGGCCACGACATTAAGGAAATGCTGCTGTCCTGCTACTTCAGAGGAGTGGAATGCAGTGCCGAAGACTTCTCAGTGGTAAGAATGAACGCAAACTTCGTTTCAGCTACAGAAGGATGGAATCTGATTGGTGGAGACTGGAATTATGGGAAAAATGTTGGTTTTCTTGTCTGTATTTTGGGATTTTTGGTCTTCAAATGTAATTTATAGGTGCACCAGAGACTTTGCTGTCAGTGTTCCTGAGCGAGGTGGACTTGTCATCTTTAGGTCATGTGTTGAGTTCGTACAGTTGTACTGAAGTGGGCATTGCTGCCTAGTGAGATAGCAAGAGATTATTTTTACCTATGGGGTCGTATCGATCTGATCCTCTGATAATATCGTGAAGAGGCCTCACAAGATTCCTTTATTCCCCTGATGATCCACGGATAAGGATTCTGGAATGGGTTTATTCATCATCTTGCTGTATCTGATTGATGGCGTCTGTAGAGGGAAAGGTTTTTTTCCCCCCATATAGATGCTGTAACTTTGTTTTTTGTTTTTTTTTAAAGCAAATTTTTTTTCTCCAAACGTGTACAGTTGGTTATATTTTGAGTGGATTTGTCAAATTGCAGTTTTTAGGGCTGTGTATCACCAGCAAAGTCACGATACGATACGTATCACGATACAGAGGCCATGATACGATACGTATCACGATACAGGACTGCACTGAATTTCACCTCAGCAGAATTTAGAAAAACAGCTGTTTATTAAACACTGCTTACTATAAAGCAAGCGCGTTTATCCACAGTGGAGAGAGAGCGCGAGCATATGGTTGCCAGGTTGACAATGATAAGTAGCACATTTAGCAGATATTTCCGTATTGCGCAAGTGTAAAGCTCTGTTTTGGGGATTACGTCTCTTTATATCAGGCAACCCAGTTGTTTTCCTCTGCGGCCAGGTTAAACCTTGTTGTAGCCTATATATGTTCTATTCATTCTTTTTTAGAAACCTCGCACTTTTCTACTCAATTTTAAATGTTGTAAAATTTTAAACAAATTAAGCGTGGTCCACTGCTGCACACGTGCCACAATATCGATACAGGGCCAGCTGTATCGATACTCGTATCGTCAAATCTCTGTGACGATACATCGTCGTATCGATATTTTGAACACAGCACTAGCAGTTTTGTAGTGCAGTGTTAACTTTTGATTGACCCTGAGCATTTAAAGGGTTAGTTCACCCCAAAATGAAAATTCTGTCATTAATTACTCACCCTCATGTCGTTCCAAACCCGTAAGACCTTCGTTCATCTTCGGAACACAAATTAAGATATTTTTGATGAAATGTGAGAGCTCTCAGACCCTGCACAGACAGCAACACAACTGAAATGTTCCCAGGTCCAGAAACGTAGTAAGGACATCTGTAAAACAGTCCATGTGACATCAGTGGCTCAACTTCAGTTTTGCGAAGCTACGAGAATACTTTTTGAGCGCAAAGAAAACAAAAAGAACAATTTATTGAACAATTCTTCTCCCCCGAGTTACGTCTTCTGCCATTTTGGAGAGTACCCAAGAGCGTAATTGACGTAATCAGCGTTGTTTACGCTCGGAGGAGAAAGCGCGCATGAACGTAATCTGTGTAATCAGCGTTGTTTACGCTTAGGTGAAAGCGTGCGTGTGCATTGTGATGCGATTTCATCAAAAATATCTTCATTTGTGTTCCGAAGATGAACGAAGGTCTTACGGGTTTGGAACGACATGAGGGTGAGTAATTAATGGCAGAACTATCCCTTTAATAGTAATTAGTTTAATTAGTTATTTTAATTAACACTCAAGCATTGAGATTGCTAGTTTAATTGAATTGAATTTAAGACTTTATCGTCCTGGGTAACGTGAATGACTCGGATGGAAAGGATATTTAAGCTGAGCTGTATACATACATCAGTTTAAAGAGCTGTGTGAGAGGACCGTATTGATTATTGATATGAGGCGATTAATTAGTGTTACTCTGACGAGAGATGAACACTGACATTAAGTGCTGCAGATCTAAACGACATTACGATTGATTTAAAACTACTTCCAGTGCAAGTCTGAGTTTCTGTTCGATTTACTTTCTCTCGACAAATGAAATTTGCCAACTCAGCTTTTTACGTTCATTCATAATTGAATGCTCTGCGAAACTTATTTTCATTCCATGCAGAAATCTCATGTTTTAGCCACTAGAGAGATTTTTGGTGGATTTTTTTTTTTTTTGTAGTTTTGTGGATGTTTCTTGATTTTAACATGCTTTCAGTCACATTCCATAACATCCGATTATTTAATATATAATTGTACATTATTTAATAGTCGACTTGTTTTTGCAATGAAAAGTGATTTGCATTTTCTTACAATGCAAAAATGTACAAATTTGCATCTCTCAGTGTAAGATTCAACACATTCACCGTAAGAAATTGTGACTTACGTTCAACACCTGTTTTGGCTGCATAGGGTTTTTGAGTTATCTGGTTCTTTGGAAGTTTTTCACATCACTGAAGCTCTTGTGGGTTTTCTAAAACTTAATACTCTTATTTCCACCTATAGCAGTGGTTTTCAAACTGTGACACGCAAGAAAATAGTTTTGTGTAAAATTATTTTTGTACTTGTATATTACACCTTTTGTTTTTATGATTTTACATCTTTTGTTAATTTACTCATTTGAAGAAAAGACTAAAAGACGTCCATTACTTCCATTTTTTTTTATGAGCTTTACACAAGCAGGCGGATCCTTTTAAGTAAAATAATTGCTTTTCCTAATTTATTTAAATATTTTCTGATAAAAAGTACGTTCTCAGTGTTATTTTTCAGTGGTGTGTGTGCTGTCTGAAACATTTGCGATCATTATAGGAACCTAAACCTGTTTTGCTGAATTCATGCGCTTGGACAATCAGGTGCTGGTCCATCTAATGACCTGCAGGACAGGGCTGTCATGCAGATAAACCTGAGTTTTAAAAGCGTATGCTGAGATGCAAGCGAGCATCTGTGCCGTTTGCGTCAGTGTCCTGGTGGACCCATAAGCCCCGGCTGCTGTGTGATCCCTGTGGTAGAGCGCACGTGTACGAGGGGCGTTGTGCTGACGTGAGTGTGTGTTTGTGCTGATGTTGAACAGCTCAGCAGAGAGCAATAATACTACGATGAGATGCACATGAGCAGTGAAGCAACTAAACTACCTTTACATGACGTGTGGTGCTTGCTGTGTCTATCGTTCTCTGTCTGTCGTCTATCTGTTGTTTGCTTTATGTGCCATTTGTTCTATCTTTTTATATTTTTATTCTTTAGATAAGTCATTCGTTCTAGCTCTTATTCTAGCTATCGGCTGTTTGTTTGAGCTCATTGTAGCATCAGCTATTCGTTCTACCACTCACAACCATCGGTCATTCTAGCTATTGGCTGTTCTAGCATCAGCTGTTCATTCTAGCTCTCATTCTAGCTGGCTGTTCGTTCTAGTTATCGGTTGTTCGTTCTAGCTGTCATTCGTTGTAGCTCTTGGTCATTCGTTCTAGTTCTCATTCTAGCTAACGTTTGCTTGTTCTAGCTATCAATCGCTTGTTCTAGTTCTCATTCTAGCTATCTGCCATCTTTCTTTCTAGTGTTGTCTTTCTGTCTGTCTATCGATCGATCGGCTGGTCATTATCGATAGATAGAAAGCGATCATTTTAGCTATCTGCTGTTTGTTCTGTCTTTCCATGTTTTTGTTCTCTTTCTTTCTAGTGTTGTCTTTCTGTCTGTCTATCGATCGATCGGCTGGTCATTATCGATAGATAGTAAGCGATCATTTTAGCTGCTTTCATCTGCTGTTTGTTCTGTCTTTCCATGTTTTTGTTATTTTTATCTGTGTCTATCAGTTAGTTGTGTTCTAGCTATCAGTCGTTTGTGCTAGCTATTGTTCATTCATTTTAGCTAGCATTCTAGCTATTTGCTGTTGTGTGCTTTCTAGCATTTCTAGTGTTGTCTGTCTTTCAATGTATCGGATATTTGTTCTAGTTATCGGTCATTGTTTTAGCTCAGTTTAGCTGTCGTTAATTCTTGTCTTCATTTGTTCATTTTAGTACTCATTTTAGCTATCATTTGTTTTTTCTAGTACTCTGTTCATTAGGAATGTAACGATTAACTGCGAGCCAGTTGAAAATCGATTTAAATATGTGACGATTCAAATCGGTTGAGATGCTAAACAAATTGCGATTCAGTTAGGGGTAGGGGTTTATATGAATGTATAAAATCGTGAAATCAAAATCGTGAATCGAATCAAATCGTGAGTTGAGTGAATCGTTACATCCCTACTGTTCATTAATTCGTTCTTTCATTAATTCATTCTATCTATCGTTTTATCTATTGTTTGCTCTACCACTCTGTCGCTTGTTCTAGCGTTCTGTCTGATGTTTGTTTATAGTCTTTCTATCTATTGTTTTTTCTAACGTTCATTAATTCTATGTATTGTTTGTTCTATTGTTCTATCTAGCATTCTATCTGCCGTTATTCCTGTTATTAGTTCATTCTATATCTATTTTTCTATTTGTCCATCTATCATTAGTTTGTTTGTTCTATCTGTCAAGCGTTCTGTCTGTTGTTCGTTCAGACGTTCGTTCATTTTATCTATCTGTTTGTCTTTTTCAAATCTATTTTATTAAGCCACTCTGTAGTTATTTAGCTGCTTTCTGTATGTCTCCAAAATTGAGTTTTATTTTGCATCTGTCGAAAACAGTCAAGTCTTGAATTTCTTGGTAGTTGTTCTACCTTTGTGGATAAAATGGCCGATGCACTTTAATTACTCTCTCATTATAAGAAGCCACACAAGACCAGAAGGGCCGTTTAGTGCAGGTTCCTTTAGCGTGGCAACACTGCAACCTAAAAACGGACCTGAGTTCAGTCCGAGTTCAAGTGTTTGTTGATGATTATACGCATAAATCCATCCGTCTCATCCCGACGCCTCGCTCCGCTGCTCCTGTGATAAAGAGTTTGAACTTCCAGAGTAGAGAATTCCCTGCAGAACATCAGCGGAAAGTTTCTTCAAACTAGTTACCACGAAAACAAACTTTACTTAATGCTAAAGTCCCCCAGGAGGAC